ACGAACCCTGCCTCACACCCACTCCAATTTCGAGGCCCTTGAGGAGATTTTCCGAACATCGATATAGTTTTCATCTGTGGCTCAAGTGTCACGTTTCGGTGGTGGCCAATGTCAATAGAGCTTCGTATTGGTGGAGTGATGCTTGCAGGGGCATTCTTTCCGGTGTTCCATCTTTGCAGAAGTTGGCCGGACAGCTTCCTGTTGCAAAAGCAGACCCTCCTGATTTCAAAATTTATAGGTCAACCGAGTCAACCAGATCCGGGGTTGGCAGCTAGTGCAAGAGAAGGGCAGGGTTTGTGGTATGTCCCCACCCACCACACCCACCACACCCACCACGCCCACCACACCCACCACCCACCACACCCAGTTTCACATGCACAGCCCTTGATATTCTTCGGGTCCTCAACAGGTCAGCTCGGTTTCCCGCGTGAATCCCGCGCCGAGGTGATCACCATCGACCCCTGGCAGGATCCCAACAGCAGCGGAGCGGGCGAAGGCCGGTTTGGCTAAATTCAAGCCATTTTCGCATTTTGGTTTCAGCCCCGTTGCCCACAGTGGAAATTTGCCAGCTACTTTCACTCTGGTGCAATCAACCCAGTGGATTAGTAGGGCTGTGTTTGCTCAAAAGCGAAGGATTCTCTCTTAAATGGGTACCCTACCCCAGCAAAACGAACTTGGGGTCATTCTTCCTGGGTTTCCATAAGGTCTTGGCTCTTTGAAGGACATCCCATTGTCTGGAAAACGGTTTGGATGCGCTTTTTGTGGGTTTCACCGGGTTTGCCCCCTGTTGGTCCCTTTTTAGTAGTCTTGTAGTACTCTTTGGATATTCTACAGGGGTGAATCCACAAAAGCCACATCCAAACTGTTATCTAGACATTGGTGGCCTCCCTCCCCTAGGCAGGCAGCCCAAGCACACAAAGCCGCCGCCCCCCGCGGAAAGCGCGGCGGCGGTGGCGAGGAAAGCGCGGCAGGCAGGGGTGGTTGCGGAAATTGTTCAAACTATGACCCCCTGGTCCCCTTTAAAGGGACAACAGGATATGGTTTAAGGAACCGTTTGAAACAATAGTGGTGTCGAAACCAATCATGTTTGAAACATGGTGGTGTTGAAGCAATAGTCGTTCAATCATGCTTCCACCAGCGGTTAGCCCAGGCGCTGGAGCCCTACGCGGATCGGGTGTCGATTTTCCAGATGAGAGCGGAGGCGGCGGTTCATGGAGGTTACCGCTTTGATGGGAGCTCGCTTGGCCCCTTTCTTAGGATACTGCGATACCTTTTTAAACGTTGGGAGTTGTTTGAAAGGGGAACCAGAGGGAAACTACAACACCCACTTTGACCGGAAGGATTCCCTATGACTTTGACGGACGGAGCTGTTCTTTTGTGCGGCTCTGCCAAAATTGTCCGTTTGGGGCACGGGACGTGATGGGGCGCATACAAAACTTCAACCACAAAAGTTCGCTAAAGCCAGAACAAATCAATTTCCACATGCTCCTATGGCGACCGCAGCTCAAGATACTTTGTCTTCTCTTGGTTGCTCCCCCGGAAGCTGCTCTGGCTGTTCACATCCAGAGCGAGCATGGGCCAACCAGCATGGCGCACCGCAAAAAACGCGCGCCACGTGTCGGCTCAGCCACTACCTGGGCTCCGAGCCCCAGCCGCTTTTGGGGTGGATACCAAAAAGTCAGGCTGATTGCGCATGTAATTTTTGCCACATGGCAGCTAGGCGAATCTCCCTCCAACTATGGATCAAATCCTGAAACAATTTGGGGGTGTCCCATTCTTAACTATGATCCGGAAGAATCCAAGTTCTTCTTTCGGAGAATATCCGAAAGGAAGAAGCCTCACTAAGAGTCTTGTTCCCACCAGCAACCATGCGACCTCTTTTGACATCATTTGACCTTCTAAGTTCGCTAAGCCATGTCTAAGGCCCCATGTTTTGGAGGTTGGGGCTGGCCACTTTTTTGCGGACATGTTTAACCCACTATGGTTTCCTGGGGTAGACTTAGGATACATTTACATTTTACCGGGGGCTCAAATTGAAACAACCAACAAAATGTACATTCTGTAAGTCTATAACTGGGCCTAACTCTTGCTTCATGTTTCAACGCCGCTCCCTTGCTTCTCTTTTTTCTCGAGGGCCAGGGTCCAACCCCCAGGAGGCTGCCAAGCTTCTGGCCGACAGGGCCTTCGACCTGGTGTTCATCGACTCAGGTGCCGATTGGCGATTCCTCCCGTTTAAGGTCAGACCCCAAATCATGGATGTAGTTGGGAAACATTTTTCCAATTTTTGCTTTTTGTGGTTTAGTGGTTGAAATCCAAATCCACTGAACTGCTAAAATATGAATGTTTGCTCCCCTTCCAACGTCAACCAAGAAATTCATTGGTGGCGTGGACTGGGTGTTGGAACTTTGTTTTTCTTGCAGAGCATAAATCAATTGGTACATGGGAACCCACTCCTTAAGCTGCACCAATCCGTTTTAGTAAGGAAAGCCAACCGAACAACAGCTGGATTCTGAAGAAGACTACCCCCCCCCCATGGTACTAAGGACTTTGTTTGGAGCAGCGTGTTTACCTGGTTGGAGCTTGCGTCGTCCAACTTGTGGTGCATACACACGCGCGCGCACACATATACCATTGTATTTACCTACATAGATAGATAGATAGATAGATAGAGAGATAACAAAGGTAATAGAGATACATAGATACATAGATACAACAATACATGGATCCATAGATAAATAGACACAGGATTGGCTACAGGATTGGCTACGCCAAACCGGCCATCTCCAATGACAAGTAGCAGCGAACCCAAAGCTTCCGAAAGCGCCCGTCGCAAAACACACAGACATACATGCATGCATGCATGCATACACACACACATACAACATGCATACATGCATGCATACATGCATGCATGCATGTATGCAGGCGTACGTACGTACGTACGTGCATGCATACATACATACATACATACATACATACATACGTACGCACATACGTACATACGTGCATACGTACATACGTACATACGTACATAGGTGCGTACGTACTTACATACATACATGCATACATACATACATTACAGTACAGTACAGTACATTACATTACATTACATACATACGTACGTACGTACACACGGACATACGTACACACATACGTACACAGACGCATCCACACACACACACATTCATACACATAGGAAACCACCGGAGGTGCGCCAATTTTTTGTCCCTTCCTTTTTGAGTTTCTGGACAAACATGTTATATGGGAATACCAAAGCTTAAGGCAAAGAAGATTTCGAGCTATTTTCCAGGGTTTCGGCTGACCAGGTACTGACCGAGAGCGGGACGTGGAAGCTTTCCTTCCGAAGGCGTGTGAAGCCTCCCGACATGCAACTGGTTTCTGGGCCTTCATATAAAATCAAGGTATTCTGGTTGGTTCAAGGTGGGATTTCGACAATGCTGCATTGAATGTGTTCTCTCTTCTGGCGCAGCTCAGTTTGGCAGCTAATGAGCAGAAATCGGGTGGCAAGCAGCCCGGGAACCATTGCGACTGTTCCCAGGGCACGTTTGGGCTTGTGACCCGGGTCTGTGGTACTATGCCCAAGCAAACATAGCAAAATAGGCGCAAGGTTTCGGGCCTTCTCCGACGGCAAGGGGGAACAGTTCCTCTGTCAAAACACTTGGGCGACTCTGGGAAAGCTCATGACAGCTCTAGGCTTTCAATGTTTGACACTGGCGCGGACTTTGCAGGCTTATGGCCGGCAATCATGACAGAAATGACCCGCGTTTAGACTTGAATGCAGATAGGCGTTCAGGGAAGTTGCCAAGTACTGTATCCCTTCAAATGGGATCATTGGCGCCACTCCCCCGCCCATGCACTCTCCGCACGTACAGCCAGTGCCGTTCAGCTTCCCCTGAAGACCATTGAAACAAGGGGGTGTTCAGCTGCTCAAGGTCGACCGAGTTCCGCCTCGCCAGGTGAGGCCTGGGGGCATTTTGTGCGGCCACGACTTCTTCAAGACGGCGGCCTACACGCGAGCGGTGCTGGCCAGCGTGCCAGCTGGGCAGGCGCTCTATGTGGGCGCCCCGAAAGAAAACAACGGTGTGGCGACTGAAAGGGGCGGGGGGTGGGGGGGGCCGAAGTGGGCGATGCCTCCATGAGCCTTGGGCATATGAGAGCTGTCTTTCTGCATGGACGGCAAGGCACCAGCACATGTCGCTGGGTCACATGTGTTGGTGCTGTGCACTACTAAACTGATGATCATGACCGAATTTGCCTTTTCTAGGCCGCGTTCAGTTTGGGAGGCGCTACTTGCTTGACTTGGCGGTGCCTGCAGGGTTGGGATGGCCTGCGATTTGGACAGCTGAGGTCCTGATTGGATGTGGTGGTTTGAGCTCTGAGACTTCGCCGGGTCAGTTCTTTGAGCGACTGAAGATTTCCCATGGACATCGTGCTGAGCTTTGACAGAGGGGCTTCAGAAGGCCGGGTTCATGGGCATCTCCGAGCAGTTCAAGGCGGTTAGGCCCCTGGAATCGGGAACATCCGCCGCAAGCAAGTTCAGGTGGCAGAGGCACCCCGCTTGGCTGACGCTGAAACGCGACGTGCAGCCCATGGGCCAAGGCCAGAAGCATGCTGTGGCTCAAGGGCCGGCTCAATGGGTTCTTTGGTTTTTGTGTTTTTTGTTGTCAATTGCAGAGGAGAGCTCCTCTCACTTTGTTGTGGTAATGCATTTGGTGACTGTGCCCGATGTCGGTCTGCTCATAAATTGAGAACGGCGCGTGAGGGTACCGCAGGCCCACTAGAATGTCCCGCATGGATGCCGAAAAGAGATGCGCCTCAGTGCAGGATTGCTATTGTTCCATTGCGGTGTAATCGAATACCTGGTCCCTTGATTTCCCTACACATTCAACAGATGTTTGCACCTGCGGGCTCGGGCCTTTGGTCCTTGACCTTCGCCCTTAGGGGCAAACCGCGGGGAACGTGGGCATCTGAGATGTGAGGTGTGGCTGTACCAGTACGACATCTCAGGGGGCTTGGCCGCCTGGGCTGCGCCCGTGGGGCTCCTCAGGGGCGGTAAGGCTTTCGGGAGAGAACCGCATGGAACGCGGTTTTTGTGGCCAAGGCGGTAAGGCTCGAAGCACGCAAGCTGGGTTCAAACTCCATCCTGCCTCTCTTGGTGGGTCCCCTTAGCTTTCTAGCCTTTTTGGTGTTTTAGTGGGGATGTCCATTTAACCAACTGCAAGTTAATTTTTTGGAGGGGGATCTGAGGACAGCCCAGTTGTACCAGATGGTCTTGGTTTTCCTTGCCATGGCAAGGCGCTTGCAGGTTAGCCCGAGTGTTTGACCGGAAGCCATTCCCGGCTTTTGTTTTGCTCAACCTCAGCCAAGGCAACCTGAAACTGTGAGTGCCTGGGTTGCCTGGCAAAACATGTTGACTGAGCAAGGCTCAACAGTTCAAGCGATCAGGTCAGCCCTGGCTTGAAGTCCTTGGTGACACGCGACGGAAAGGGCTGGGGTATTTCTGTGGCCTCCCTGGTCTGATTGCCTTAGCCAGCTCATTCAGCAGGGTGCCCATAGTCTGAAACTGGCCCCCACCGTAAAACCTGTGTCTTCCCTCTAAGCGGCTCATGACAAACCTGGAAGCACTCCAACAATCTTTAGAACCCCATGAACCCCCCGACTGTCAGAACCCACCCAGCAACCGCTGCACAAAGCCCTGGAAAACCTTCTGGAACCTTCTGGATTCGTTCGGGTAGCTGTCCGGAACCGTCATCCCGGGATATCCCGGCGTTGGGTTGCCAGTCCGAGGTGACGATGTTCCAATCGGTGGAAGGCATCTGGCCCCGCCCTCAGCATTTCCTTTTTTTTCAGCCAGAAGGGTACGTCCTGTGCCGCCCTGGGTTTTTGCACCCAAGTTCGCCAGCCAGGGCCAGCTTTTCCACTTGAAAGCGGTTGGTTAGTTTCAGAAACAAGACCGGGTGCCATCCAAGAAGCATCCTACTCTGAGGGTGGGTTGGGCAAGACCTTGTCTTAATTGCTTCCGTTTGCTCAGAATATGTGTTATGTTCCCCTGTTGGTTTTTCAAGGGCATCTATCACAATTACCCGGTTTTTTCCCCAGGGGGCTTAAGCACATGCAAGAATGGGGGACAAGCCCCGTTCAAGCAACAAGGGGTTTAGGGTTCCAATCAGAAGCAACCCGCCGAGCCGCAGGCACACCGGCGTGGTGGCCTTTGGGAAGGAGTATTGGCCCTGCTGCCCCGTTTGATTAATGGTCGGGTTGACATGTCAAGACTTCCTCCAAGTTGACCAAAGTGGCACTGTCCAAATTTGTTTTGGGTTGGTACCATTTTGACCTTGACTTCCTCTTGGGAGAAGAAAAAAGGGAAAGTCCGCCATTATTAGACACACACACACACGCACAACCACTCAACAAGGCAATTAGAGAGAGCCGCCATGCTTCAGACACACTTCCGATAGTTAGGCACCCTTTGTCAGTTCCATGAATCAAAGAGGTGGGAGCCTTCTGACGCTGGGGGTCCGATGGTTCTTTCCGTGGCCAGCGGCAACCCAACTCGACTTCCGCTTCTTGTGTGGGTTGAAGGCCTCATTCGTGGTTTCAAGACGGGGTCGGTCATCCCTGCATATGTTCGTGCAAACTGGGAGGCCCTGCGATCGTAGCACACAGTTAGCAGAAAGAAATGAAGCGACAACGACACCGGAAACCTGGCCCTCCAAGTCGGGCTCCGATTTTCTCTTAGGTGTTTGAGCTCTTTGGGCCTTGAGGGTTCTGCCAGGGTTGCGGACAGGCGCGTCGTTTGGCCATTTGGCCAGGTACGGGGGCCAGTGCTTCGAGAGCAAACCCCAGAGCACACCCTTCGGGGAGCCTCTGAAGCGGATTTACCTGGGCGCCGCAGCCTCAACTAGCCAGCGCCAGCGTGGCCCCGAAGGCCCGAAGGCACCTGGGGGGGTCTCAGAAGGCTCCGGGGCAGGGGGGCGGCCACCGGCGTTGCCTCCCAGGTCGAACTAGACCCCAGCACGGTCTGCGAAGACATCTTTTTCCCCGGGTCCAAGAAGTCGCCCCGGCTTCAAATATACCAAGGGCGCGTCACTTGTCGATGCCGAGCAGCCGTCGCATGCCCGCCGCTGGCCATTCTCGAAGGCACCCCTGGTGCGCTTACTGCGTGCAACCAGCACATGAGCAGGCTGTAGGCCTCAGAAGTAGATGCCAAGTCTTGATTCTCAGTGTGATCTTGTGACTCCCGTAGCCGTACAAGCAGGACAAGGAACCAGCATTTGCGCTGCGGTCTCATATATGCTAAGGCTGTGCTTGCCCCAAGCCATAATGTATGCATATTTGTTCAAAACAGGATGCAGGGCCACCAAGACTGCCACCAGGTCACTTCCACTTGTATGAATTCACCAGCCACAGCCACAGCAACGCAGCAACACTGTCGGCGTTTTGCCGCAAGCCGCGCGCCGAGAAAAATCCGCAAGCGATGCGCGCGAAATGCACCGCACGGCGGGTGGCGCTGCGTGGGGTGGCGTCAGCATGTCTCCTGGCGACGCGCCTTGGAGTGCAGAGACTCGGGACTGCGCTCATGGCTCTGTCCACTTGGTGGCTCCCAGCAATCCGGTTCCTTAGCTTTTCGCTTTTTAGTTGGTTGGATTTCCACTTAACCCACTAAAAGCTGGAATCTGTTGGCAGAGGATCAGAGGACAGCCCAGTTGAGACCTGTGAAAGGTTCTGACCTTTGAGGTTCGGCTCGGGCGCTCGCTTTGTCTTTAGCTTGTCGGAAGAGCCTTACGAGGGTTCCCTTTGAGAGTCGCTTTGAGAGCCGAGGACCTTTGCAAGCCCGGGGAGGGGATCCGTTCAACTTATCTCAGGTACTCCTTGATAGCATGTAGGTGCTCCTTGATGCCCAGACCCATTGAGGGTCACACCAGCGGTTTCTAGCAAACTGGGCCCCAGTCCTGAAATCGGTTCTATGGGTTGGCATATCACTATAGCATATAACTATGGCTCAAGCACATGTCATTCAACCTTTGTTGAAATCCGACTTTTCATTTTGTTTGGTTCTCAGCATGTCCCCTGCATTTTGTCCGTCATCTTGCCAGTGTGTAGATCGAACCATCTCTCCATCATCGGCAGATGTTCTTGCAATTGGCTGGTGCGGGCCTGGCGAATTCGCGAAGCTATGCCCCAACACTTGTGGTAGGAGACGCTTAGCAGCTCAGAAGCAATCCGAATCCCCCGAGGGATCTCGGCGAGATGCTTCACTGGAGTTACGTAGCGAAAACAAAGATAGTTATATTTACATACATACACCAAGACAAGTCTATGTGTATAGACACATGTATATGTATATATATATATATGTATATTTAGATAGATGCACAAATACCTATAGTGGAATATGTCGTATACATAATTTAGTATATAAAATAGATGTGTATATATAAATATATCTTTATATATAATTTGGTATTTACACAGGCCATTCAGGGTGTGTGTGGTGGAGACTTGTGCTCAGGCTCTCGCTGGTGCTGGGCCCGGCGCTTCTGCGGGCCAGCTACCACGAGCCCTGCGTGCTGGCGGCAGACTCCCAGGCGCTGGTGGACTACATGCGCGGGCCTTGGGCTTTGGGGCTTTGGTGTCCTTTTTGGTGGTTTTGCTAGAAAAATCGAGGGCGATTCCTGGTTTACCTGGTGGTTGAATCATCTAGCAGGGTCATCTATTTCCCTGAAAGGACGCCTTTGGGCTTTGGGGCTTTGGAGTGCTTCTTGGGGCTTAATGTTGACCCCGTATGAACCAACCCCAGCTTATGAATAGGGGGGTGGTTTGCCGGAAACAACCCCAGTTTCTGACTCGGTCAAAATAATGACCCCAGTGCTTTGGGGATCTGGAGGTGTTCCTTGATAGCTCGCTTGCGAGCTCGGCGGTGAAGCAGGCAAACCACCACTAAGTCCTAACAACTGCGTTTGCAATTTGCCTAAGGATATCCGATTTTGGTTTTGAAGGGAATCTATGACTAAGGGAATCTATCACTTTAGGCTTTGGGATTTGGAGGGTTGATTTGTTGGTGTGGGGGGGGGGTCCGGCTTCAGTGGTTGGAATCAGACCACTTTTGGAGGGGGGCCCCCTGGCCGGAGAAACCGGGGGAGCTTTGCAATGTAGGAAGAGGCAGGGTGAACCGCCACAAGCATGCAACAAGTAACTCAACAGGGTGGAAGAACATGCCCCAAGTGTTGCTCAAGCCCAAAGAAAGGTCATCAGAATAGGGCCTCCTCAAGCTCACCGAACAGCAGCCCGTAAGGACTGCTGCACAAACCGCCTTCAAACGTGTCGACAACTGCAAATGAAGCCTCTCGCGTTCAGCAAGAAGACCACATCAGGGTTAGAGATTCGATCCGTCCTTTGGCTTCCCTGCCTATCTGCCCTCAGTCCGGGATGTTTGGAGCAAGTCAACCTTCCAGTCTAGATTTTGACTCTTCTTCAATCAAATCTCAGGCAAAACCTCCTCAGCTTTTTGGTGGCTAGTGGTGTCTCTTGCTTGCCCTTGAGGGACTTCTTACAAGCAGAGTCGCCTTTTTCCCCTGGAGGGATCAACCACTGGCCACTCATGGGCATGTCGTTGCGGGAATTGTTTTCTTGGGACGTGGAAGGGCTCCCGTTTTACCAGTCTTTGATGGGTTTGATCGGCCTATGTCTTTTGCTTGAATTGCATTCTTGGTTTCTGGAGGCTGCAAGGAACTGCTCACATTCCTGGGGTTGTGACTACAACACATCCACCCCAAAGACTGGGCTATTCAAAGGCGCTAATTTACTATTGATGTAGCGTCCCACTAGGAATTGGGGATTTTTCTTGGGTTTGGAGCACCCCCATGAAAAACACACACCACTAGGTCGTTTTACAGCTGCTGCGAGCTGCTGCCGCGGGCAGCCAAGGAGCGGGGGCTGAGTCGGTCAGGCTTGGATGCGTAGATGCAAAGCAAAGAACGGGGGGGGGGCCTTAGGTCTTTTCGAAAGCATTTGTTGTCCACACCTGCTAAGGGTTAGCCGTTTTTTAGCCAGGGGGGCTCAGGGGGGGGCCAGGGGGCAACATTGATTCAGTCTTGAACATCCATCCTTGAGTAGAGGAACCACTGGCATCGCACATGGTTGTGTGTGTGTTGTGCGTAAGTGTGGACACAACCAAGGGCCGCTTTTCTGGGCCGGTTGCCAAAGCGGCTGGGATTAGGGCGGGCCCTGTGCGTTTTGTCACATACTTGTACCGAAACGCACGGCGCTATGCCGAAAGCAGACCCCGCATGCCCCGCGCTTGCTAGTTGTAAATGACGAGGCCGGGGCAGAAAAGTGGACTGTAATGGTTTCTTTTCCCTCCAATGGCTTGTGGGAAATTGTCGTTTTCCCCATGTTGGTCTTGAATGGAGCCTTCAGATTGTGGAAGTATCTCAGATCGATCCAAGCACACCACCCAACACGAGAGCCTGGCACGTTTTACACGTCTGCTGAAATGGACTTCATTTGGTCCTCAAGCCTCTCTTGCAACGGCAGCAAACATACGGCTGTGGGTCAAAACCCTGTACCCCCAGTGAACATCCCAATCCCCACTAAAATCGACTAAAAGGGTGGTACATTGGTTTTGACCCATGGCCATCCCTCGAGGCCTGCCTGCTGCTGCTTTGGCTGGCGCTTCTCATCAGCATGCTGGCCGGAGCCTCAGACGAGTCTTCTCGGGTTCTCCAGCTCCGGGCGCGCCTGTGACTCAGCTTCCTGGGGAAGTCGAGCCAGGAAAGTTTGAGCGAGGACAATGGTCAGGTACATCCCTGATTTCCCTGAATTCGGCAAAATATGTCCAATTTCTTCAAAAAGAGAACATCCACAGGAGGGCAGTTCTTCATTTTGTTCAGACCCCCCTCCCCCCAATTCACTTTGCTTGCCCTCAAGCCAGGCCAGCACCGCAGATGACTACTTCGTGCCCCAACTGGAGGCGCTCTCCGAACGGCTGGGCCTGCAGGAGCGCGACAAGTGTTTTGTTTAGCCCAGGCACCCCCCTGTCAGGTACGGTAACCCTTTTAGATTAGATGTTTGGGGATTTGAGCCCGTGGCTTTTGTAGAGGTAGATGGGAGACCCCTCCCTAAGCACCAAACCAGTCATCCAAACCACCATGGCTTTGGCTTGGATTGCCTGGTTCGTGTGGACAAATATAGAGAGAATCTGGCCAGTTTTTGTGATCATCGAGTAATCCTAGCAGGTCCACTTTGGTATCGCAGAGAAGGCTATTGTTCCCCAACCCCTGAGGCAGGATCTAGGCTCGGTGCTTTGCTTCCACGGGACGGCCACGTCAGGAGGACGTGGCCGGGGTGACGCTGCTGGCGCTGGGCAACGGCATGCCGGACGTGATGACGGCGTGCAGCTCCGTCAACAAGGCCGGCGAAGAGCCGCCAAGTTTGGGGCGGCGGGCAGGTGCCAGGGGCCCGGCCCGGAATGGGTGAGCGAAAAGCCCATGAAGGTCCGGGTAGAAATCCCATGAAGTACCCCGTCCACCCCGAAAGCTAGCTCTTGCTTGCGGGGTCGGGGGCAACTGAAGAGGTTTCTGTCCGCTTTCAATTTCCCCTCCCCCGTTCCGGCACAGCAAGCAGAGGAACAGCAAGCTGAGGCTATGTTTTAGTCACAGCCCCAAAGCATTAACCATTCATTTTCATAGCAAGTCTGTGGCCAACGGTTGATGGTTAGACTGCCAAGGGAATCGTAAATTCACACCTCATATTCGGGGTGAAATTGAACCCTCCGAACCCTCCCCCCCTCACAAAAGAGCAGCCTCCAGGCCTGTCAATCAACCATTGGTGATATGTCGGATTATATGGGCACGTCTTTTTTGGATAGCAGCCCTTGTTGGGGCTGG